AAGAAATGTGCTGTTTACCTGTGCAAAGAAAGAAACAACGAAAGAAAAATGTCTGAGGACTTCAGTGTTGAGGAAGAGCATGAGTTCTTTGCCGAGCTGAATGCGCACTTTCGTCTGGTTTGGTCTGCCGCGGTTTCCGTAGACTCATGAACGCGCTTTCAGGAAATCCTATACACTACTGTTTATGCTCTAAAAACATTCTAAATGACTTCGTTTCGAGTAAATTATGGACGCTACCCACTCAGGACACTTGGAATACATTGGACGAGCAGTATGGAGGAATATTGACACGTTTTTTGTGGACTTTTATGGACCTTTCTGTCTCGGGCGCCATAGACCTCCATTATTTGAATGTCAGCAGACAGCAAGAAGCCTCCCAGATCTCCAGATGCATTTGAGATATCAAAAAAGTACTCCAGAGTGTTGTTCAGCATGGGGGTGAGTAGAAAATGAAGGCTAATCATGTTTTGGGTGTACTATTCCTTTAAATAAATCTGAATTTTAGGAGCAGCAACCTTAGACTCACTAATTACTGGTTTTGGGATGACAGATTCATCGATTGGCCAGCCTCGATTTCAGCCGATACCTCCGCCTCAAACCGATATCATCTGCAGATGTTATCTACCTCTGCAAAGGTCTGAAGATCTATGGTGTGAAATCAGTTCCATAATTGTTGCAAGCCAATGTGTTTTGTAAATGAATCCAGGTTGTAAAATCATGCTGCTGTAATAATATCAAACTTTTTTTTAAGGCTTTTATTTTAACAGATCTGTACCAGGGGGAACCATAAGTTTTCTCTACTTTCTATCATTGAATGGTCAAGTGTAGGCGCACAAAAGAAAACCCCAAACTATAATGTAGGAATGTTTCACTCTATTATTCTTTTATTAAGTCTCCAAACAAATGTGGTAAATCAATAAAACATTTATTCAACAGAAAAAAGGCAGATTCTGACAGTTCAATAAACAAACTGATGAGACCCGGCAACACGTGGCACCTGGATTCTTAATCTTTGTTCTTAAATCATCACAAGGCAGAAACATACGGAGCCGATTCGAGGCACAAAGGAAAAACAGACTTCAAGAGACGTTGAAAGAAGTAGGACCACTGCATCAGCTGCAGGCGACCTCATGGAGAAGGCACCAATACCCAAATAATCCTTTGGCAAATAAAAAAAACTAAAGAACTTTTATTTTTCAAAAGAAATACAGCATGTAAAGATTTTTTTTTTTTTATTACAGGCAAACAGGAATAAGGCTGATATGATTTCTTCCCTCTAAATTCAGCATAGCAGAAAAATCACAGTGTGCAGGACATGTTGGACACCCCCCACCAGTAATATAAGAGGTAAAACAGATGTAATGCGAGCGTGGATTTATCAGCCGCACCTACAACAATCGCAAGGTCACGACCTGCACGTTTATTTGACAAAGACTTTTGTTGAAAAATGAAAAGCGAAGCTCACAGTGGTCTGCAATATTTGCTGAGTCATCAAAATAAAATAAGTGTATCAAAGAGGTTTTCTAAGATAAAGAGAGATGCACCAACAGATCGACCCCACTGGATAGAGGATTTAATTTCTTGTTTTGTTATACACAGCATGTCTAAAAACTATCTTCAGAGAGGAAGTTGGTATAACTGAGGGAAGAAGTTTAAGATTTTTTAGAAACCAGAACATTTTGCTCTGTGACAGGACTTCCAGTTATATGCCTGGCCAACAAGGACCAAAAACATTTCAACATTTTAAAATAAGGATAAACAAATGCCGTGTCCCTCCTGATAGTTTTTAGTTAATGCTTTTTGAGCCTTAATAGAATTCTGGCATCGAGCAAAATAAGAAGACCTTGGCCGTTTCTCAGCTCACAAGAACGCGAGTACAGACTTGTATCTTCGCCAAGTATGTTCTTAAGAAGCGAAGCATAAATCTGGGTCAATTGGAAAAGAAGTGTTCTGATGACATCACCACATTCAAAGCTAGTCTGTAGCTGCATTTCACCTCCTGTTATTAATAGTCTCTAGATAATAAATTATTACTTTTTTAATTTAGTGGCTTTAGTGGCTTTTATCTAATCAGCAAGGAAATCCAAAAGACACGCAACAGAAGACAGCGATGGGAAAATTAAACGCAAAAATATCACAATCCCTTATGTTGCTGGAGTGTCTGAAAAGCTCAAGAGGATTTTCTCCAAACACAAGATCCCAGTACATTTCCAGCCAAACCAAACCCTTAAACAGAGGCTAGTGCATCCGAAAGATAAAACCCCCAGACCAAATATGAGCGGAGTGGTATATGCTGTTCAGTGCAGTGAGGAATGCTCTGATCTTTATATTGGAGAAACCAAACAACCTCTCCACAGACGCATGGCCCAACACAGAAGAGCGGCCACCTCTGGACAAGACTCCGCAGTACACCTACACCTTGTGGACAAAGGACATTCTTTTGAGGACCAGAATGTCCATATTCTGGATAAAGAAAATAGGTGGTTTGAGAGGGGCGTGAAGGAAGCCATCTATGTTAAGAGAGAAAAACCAACTTTAAACAGAGGTGGTGGACTGAGATTCCAGCTTCCAAAAACATACAATTCAATCATAGACATGATCCCTTCCAGATATCACCAAACCCCCCACCCCATCACAGAGGAACGAGGGACCTACCCGCTCCAGCCGGTGAACATTACCTCCTTAACGACCAACCCTTAACAATCATAGACAGGTTTCAGGTATTACAGGAGACAATCCCCCCCTTAATGACAATCCCCCCTTTAACGACCGACCCCTAGAATCATAGACAGTTTCAGATATTACAAGCTAACGATGGAACTAACGACCCATTCATCGGTTTCTATTGCATGTTTCCAAGCGATACAAGGCGTTGTCTATATAAGACTCAAACTCACTGCAGATCCAGACATTTGAATTGAGAAAGCTTCCTGGAGAGGTGGAGAAACGTCTTCAAATCTTGAAAACCAAGTCCAGTGGATATTTTTTGAATTTTTACGGAATTAATTTAGTGGGGGAATAATAATGAACACAGCCTAGGCTAACGTTAGCCCGTTTGAAGCAACCAGGGCTAACCTTAGCCCGTCTGCAGCAGCCTAGGCTAACGTTTGCCCGTCTGAAGCAACCAGGGCTAACCTTAGCCCATCTGCAGCAGCCAGGACAAACGTTAGCCCATCTGAAGCACCCTGAGCTAAGGTTAGCCCGTCTGCAGCAGCCTGGGCTAACGTTAGCCCGTCTGCAGCAGCCTGGGCTAACGTTAGCCCGTCTGAAGCAGCCCGTCTGCAGCAGCCTGGGCTAACGTTAGCCCGTCTGCAGCAGCATGGGCTAACGTTAGCCCGTCTGAAGCAGCCCGTCTGAAGCAGCCTGGGCTAACGTTAGCCCGTCTGCAGCAGCCTGGGCTAACGTTAGCCCGTCCGCAGCAGCCTGGGCTAACGTTAGCCCGTCTGAAGCAGCCCGTCTGAAGCAGCCTGGGCTAACGTTAGTCCGTCTGCAGCAGCCTGGGCTAACGTTAGGCTGTCTGCAGCAGCCAGGACTAACGTTAGCCTGTCTGAAGCAGACAGGGCTAAGGTTAGCCCAGGCTGCTGCAGACGGGCTGCTTCAGACGGCCTAACGTTAGGCTGTCTGCAGCAGCCTGGGCTAACGTTAGGCTGTCTGCAGCAGCCAGGACTAACGTTAGCCTGTCTGAAGCAGACAGGGCTAAGGTTAGCCCAGGCTGCTGCAGACGGGCTGCTTCAGACGGCCTAACGTTAGGCTGTCTGCAGCAGCCAGGACTAACGTTAGCCTGTCTGAAGCAGACAGGGCTAAGGTTAGCCCTGGCTGCTGCAGACGGGCTGCTTCAGACGGGCTAACGTTAGGCTGTCTGCAGCAGCCAGGACTAACGTTAGCCTGTCTGAAGCAGACAGGGCTAAGGTTAGCCCTGGCTGCTGCAGACGGGCTGCTTCAGACGGGCTAACGTTAGGCTGTCTGCAGCAGCCAGGACTAACGTTAGCCTGTCTGCAGCAGCCAGGGCTAAGGTTAGCCCTGGCTGCTGCAGAATCTGCTCAGATCTGCTCACCCTGCCTAGTTGAAGCCTCTCTACACACAGTCAGTGTGACATGAAAAAAAATCGGATCGGAGATGAAAAAGTCGTACGCAGCCGGTGTGTTCAGGCCTCTAGCTGCAGTAGGCTACTTCATTACTTACTTACATTAATAATTTTAAAATCAAGCAAATCGATCTGGAATTTGTTCTGATTGGTGCATCTCTAGGTTATAAATGCAGTAGCGCAGGTTTGGCTTAGTCTGGTGGTCGTCATTACAGGGTTAAATTCTGCAATTAATGTAAACAAACCGAACTTCACTGATGCGGAGTTTTAAAAAAATAGCCGGTAATGCTTTCTTTTACAGTACATCAATAACATGTAATAACCTGGTAATAACATAACTTACACTATATTACTAGCTAACAAGAAAAACTATGGAGAATTTTTGTAAGTGCTGTGTTTCAAATTTTCGGCTGACAAGTTAAAGTCAAACTTCTTAGAATTCAAACCGTTATTACTGCAGACAGCAATACATTAATGTGTTATTATCTGGTAAAAAGCAGTTTATTACTTGACATATAACAGATTACCAAACCCCGAAGACAGCAGCTAATAATCTTAACTAAACTCTTATTTATATGCAACTTGAGTTCTGTTTTATAACGCTTTATTTACCTGATCATAGTTACAATTTACTTTGTAAGCCATTGGTAGGTGGTGGTCAATGATAGAAACCTAATGGTAGTTACATAGTCACACACAATGATAATAATTACATGCAGGTTATTAGTTTGAAATCATATACTTTAATCTTGGGGTATTTACCCCAAAAAAGTTTTTCTTGTTACCAAACTTAAAGTGCGACTTTATTACGTGGTAATTGATTTACTGTAAAAGAAAGCATAATTCCTAATAAAAAACAAACAGGGCACTTTTGGACTATTTTTCCTGCATCGTTTGATTTAAAACCGTTTAGTAGAATAAAATAAAACAAAAACTAATTGGCAGTTAAATGAAAAGCAGATTGTCATTGGCTGTTCAGAGCTTTGATCAGCTGTAAAATACTTCTGTCTTCTTATAATTGGAATTAATTAATACCTGATTTCTATCAATACATAAAAATACATATTGGCAAACATTCGGAAACTGTGATCTAAGAATTTAGCCGCATATTTTACCACATGGTAAAACCTCCGCAGTGATTCTCAACCATGTGAAGATTATAAAAAAAAAAACAGGTTGGAAACTTTGGTTGTTGGTTTCCATTTAAGGCAAAGCAGAGAAGGAAATAACAGTCACTGCCCACTGAAGGCACAACTGTATGAAAACTGACAGGGTACAGCCATTAAAATAAGCTTCGTAAAGAAGACGTGAACCCAAACAGCCAAAGATTTCCAAAGTGTTGGTAATGAAGTTCAGGCTGAAGAACGGCAGCTCAGTAGTTTTGGTAAATATCTCACTGATAGGACAGCCACATGTGAGTGATTATGAATGAATTGTTAAAACATGTAATGATATGATTCCCGGTTCAAGTCTCGCTCCTCCCAACATGAAGAAAACAGCGACATTAAGAAGCAAAAAGAAAAGAAAACAGGGCGTCCACTACAATATAGTGCAGGGTTTTTTTTCCTTGAAAGGGTTTTCTGAAGCAGGGATGGCTCTGAGGAGCGGGTCCCCTCTGGCCTGTTCCATGCAGTAGTTCATCAGCTCAGCAGAGGCTTTGGAGACCTGGAGAAAAACAAAAAAAACAGGAAGCAGAAATATCAAGTTAAGCTTTTTTTAATCCTTTAATTAACAGCTTCCATTAAAACCAACCTGGAACTAAGGGCACGATCACACCTTTCCACTGGTGTCAAAAGTTCATGCATTTGTTACTTAAAGGCATACTATGCAACATTTTTCAGTTAATTAATGTGTTCCATAACGTTTTGGATGATTAAATGAGTCATTTCAGGTTGAACAAAGGTATTCTCGGCCGCCCTGGTGGTCTGGAGGGGAAATACCGTACTTGCAATTGCAGGAGCACCGACCCGCACCCACAGGCTCAGAAGTACGGTGTTTTTGAATTTACAATTCAAAAACACATTAACAAATAACAAAACAAAATAACATTTGAAGAAACAAAATTGTATTTTATGAAACAAATGTATTTTTGAAAAAAAAAGTTAACATTTTTAAAAACAAATTTACATTTTAGGAAACAAATTCACATTTTAGGAAACAAATTTACATTTTAGCAAACAAATTTACATTTTAGGAAACAAATTCACATTTTAGGAAACAAATGTACATTTTAGCAAACAAATTCACATTTTAAACAAGTTAGATTTTAGGTGAGAAAAAAAAATACATTATAGGGAAACAAATTTACATCTAAAAAAAAATTGACCGTTCGGAAACACTTGTACAAGTGCAAAGACAAAAGGGAACGTCCCAGTGGCCGGATGTGACGTCACCATTACCCTGACTTGTAGTACAAACAGCTCAATCTGTAGTCCTCCTGCTTCACGTGAAAAGTCAGCGGCGATTTTATTATTGTGGAGCAAATTTCAGCCAATTTACACCATTTTGTTGTTCGTGCGGAAGGTGGTCTGGAACTTTTACGGGACACGGACCAGGTGGCAGGACCACCTGAACTGCTGCAACGCAGCCACTGCCACGAATTGAGCTCGGCCCTGCTGCTTGGTCCTGCCACCTGGTCCGTGTCCCGTAAAAGTTCCAGAGACCACAATAAGGGCAAAACCTTGTTCGGTTAGCGTAAACTTAAAAAAAAACAGCTTCAGTGCAATTCTTTCCATCTAAAATCGCCGCTGACTTTTCACGTGAAGCAGGAGGACTACAGATTGAGCTGTTTGTACTACAAGTCAGGGTAATGGTGATGTCACATCCGGCCACTGGGACCAGGGGCGTGCACACATAGACACTAGGTGGTGCTAAAGCACTAGGAAGTTTGCCCTCTATCAAAGAAAATGCCCTTTTGAAACTCGTTTTTTTTTTTTTTTTATTATTAATATTATTAAGATTTTACTGAGGTCGGTTTTGAAATGATCTTTTGAAAACCTGAGCCATTAAAAACGACTGAAACAATGCCCCGAAATGACCGACCTACTTGCGCACAAACGACCCTCTCTCTCTTCCTTTGTCACGTGAACTCGCTCGGTCGCCCGCAGGGCATGCCAGATGCGCAGCATCATAGCAGTTTTCAGATAGCAGGAACGGTCGCTGACAGGCTGCTTCTCCCGTGCCCCATTAGCCAGGTAATATACAGATCAAGCAGAATGATTTTGTTGTGCATTAAAATGTCTCATTCAGCAGCACCAAACAAGCATTTTGCCGACTGGTCACCTGATAAACTAGTTGTCTCCTTGTAAGATGCTATTTTACTTTTTATATTTTGTATCCATATTTTTTTATCTTAAGTGTATACATTAGTCTATTTTATTGCATGACGTATACCCACAGTTTTTAGATATTTTTATAATTTTATTTACCTATTCCATATTATATGTTTCATGTTGCACGATTGTACCATAAAAAATTCCTAGTTTGTGAACTCCTTCACTAACAATGGCAATAAACCTGATTCTGATTCTGAACGTTTTACACTGTAGCCCAAGTCAATGACAGATAACGTGAGGACGACCACATAGGCTACAAATAATTTTGGTAGAGTTTGCAATTGCAAATCTACAGAAGAGGATTAGGGCCACTGAAAAAAAAAAAAAGTTAACCGATTTTTAAATTTTATTTCAGTTTAGTATGGGAAAAAAGTCAGAATGCTGACTTTAATCTCAGAATTCTGACAATAAAAAAGTCAGAATTCTGACTTTTTTCCCATGTTAAACTGAAATAAAATTTAAAAATCAGTTAACTTTTTTTTTTTAGTGGCCCTAATCCTCTTCTGTACAAATCTATGTGTTAAGACAAACGTTTTCTGTTGTATAGGTTTTGTTAGGCAACATAAATGTTGGTCACATTTTAAAGAGACACATTTTGGTCTCTTTATTGTCTTAATTGTATATTGATTTAGTAATTGCAGCACAATGCCAAGAAAGGAGGGTTAATCATATTGAAAAATCTTAAAAGCTGTTCACATTTTATTTTTAAGTGGTTTGTGCAGCAGGTATTAAAATAGCTATTATTTTGTAGGCTACCATAAGTCATATCCACGTGACAAGACTTCCAGTCATGTTGCCCTAATAGCCCATTATTTAAACTAATGTGGCATATTTGTTAAAGCTATTATTATTATTATTATTATCATTATTATTATTATTATTGTCATGATGGTTATTATTATTATATTGTAGCCAGTCACAGCAGGGAAGCTCTATACCATCAACATCTACCAGGACAGGAGATGAGGAAGAGTTCAGGGAAGACACAGAGACAGAAAAAGACCAGGATGAGGGAGAGCAGATGGGTGAGGGAGAACAGGGAGATGAGCCAGATGAAAGAAGTATGCTTTAGTCTGTTCTGTTGGTGATGTGACTTTTTTCCATTGAAAACTCACGTTTAGAGAATGTTACAAATAAAAGTCAAATTTCATTCAACATGCGTTTATTTTTTTTTATAATTAAGTGTTACACGTGCGCTAAAAAGTGGGACATTCCCTTTCCGTGTAGCCGTCTTTTGTTAATTTTTTTTTGGCTATGTAACTGTGTTTTGCCGCTTGTAGTTTTGTCTTTGCACTTGTACAAGTGTTTCCGAACGGTCAATTTTTTTTATAGATGTAAATTTGTTTCCCTATAATGTATTTTTTTTTCTCACCTAAAATCTAACTTGTTTAAAATGTGAATTTGTTTCCTAAAATGTAAATTTGTTTTTAAAAATGTAACCTTTTTTTTCAAAAATATATTTGTTTCATAAAATATAATTTTGTTTCTTCAAATGTAATTTTGTTTTTTATTTGTTAATGTGTTTTTGAATTGTAAATGGGTTTTGCACTTCTCAGCCACCGTACAGAAGTTTCGTGCATCGCGAGCAGTGTTGGGAAAGTTCTCTTTCTACGTGAACTAGTTCAAAGTTCAGTTCACACATTTTAAAATGAACTAGTTCAGTTCATAGTTCATAATTCAAAATTTTGAGCTAAGTTCACAGTTCCAAAAAATGAACTAGTTCATAGTTCTTTTTTTTCATATATTGCTCAATTACACCATAGCCTACTGTAGAACCACAGACAGCAATTATTTTATCAGTTGTAACACTGAAACTGTGCGTCAGATTTCATCTTCATATCCAGTTTTGAATCCTTATCCAACCAGGGTTTACATTAGCATTGAGGGGACAGCATTTCCCCATTGTTGCTTTAAGGCTTTGTTGCTGTCCATTCACTTCACACTAGTAGCAGCTGCAGCTTTCACCCCTACAGTATATTCTCAAAAACATAAGGAAAAATGTGCTGCTTGAATGGTCTTTTTATGAGGAATTATTAAAAGAAAAACAGGAAAGTAGTCTTTAACGTGCAAATGTTTTTTTCTGTTGCAGGTTTTATACAGTAGCCCGACAAAGCCTGGTTTTAGTTTAGAAAACATACAAATTGGAAAAGACAAACGGGTCTGTTTAAGGTTGGTTTTTCTTTCTTAACATAGATGGCTTCCTTCACGCCCCTCTCAAACTACCTTTCTTCTTTGTCCAAAATTTGAACATTCTGGTCCAAATAATGTTCATTGTCCATCAGGTGTAGATGTACCCCAGCGTCTTGTCCAGAGGAGGGCGCTCTTCTGTGTTGGGTCATGCATCTCTCGAGAGGTTGTTTGGTTTCTCCAATATAAAGATCAGAGCATTCCTCGCTGCATTGAACTGCAGACACCACTCCGCTCAGATTAGGTCTGGGGGGTTTTGTCCTTAGGATGTACTAGTCTCTGTTTAAAGGTCTTGTTTGGTTGAAATGTACTGGGATTTTGTGGCAGTGGGGAGTACCAATATGGCGGCCGGAGTCTTCACTTTTTATGGCCTATCAGCAATCCAGTCAGCTACAGTTTCCTGCATGTGCACCTTTCGTTGGAAGGGACCATTTTTAACAATGAGAAGCAGGAGTTTTAAAGCTGTGCCGTCTTCATTTCGGCACTTTTTTCTAGTTAGGTTTTAGCCAGTCTCTTTCACAGTTGGAACCAAGGTGGTGCTGTGTGGTTACCTTTATCCTCTCCCTTCTTGCCTCTAGTCTCAGCTGCTGCACTATCTGCCGGGCCTGGGGTAGGTTACTCTGGGCCTTGGAGGACATCCTGGTCCGTGCAACACTGTAATGAAGAACAGGGAAGGAAAGTCAGCATGGCTGTGCAGCATATGAGGTCTTACCTTAATGCAAACATAGAACAAGACAAACAAACCAATTGGCTAATGGTTACACACTGGTTTAGTTCCTTCACACACGTAGAAGGGGTGTTCTCACTTCTTTTTTTAATACGCAGCTGGTAATTGATGGGCCCGTTTTTTAAGCCTGGTTATATTGATTAAACCGATGCCTGCAACCCTTTATCTACTTCCTCTGAAGTACCAACGCCGATTCAACAAACACACAAAGCAAAGGTGTACAGAGAGGTTTGGAAAAACAAAATTAACCCAGATTCAACACATGACGGCTTTAATAAAACCCAAACGAAAGATTTTAGCCAAAAATACGAGCAGATTACATGAAGGCACAGGACTGATCAACTTTAGGAAGGCTGATGTGTTTATGACAGAGAGTCTGGACTGTGGTTCCCGTTCCTGTTAATCATTACAGGAAACAACAGGCCTGGACACATCATCAACCACCCCCTCCATCTTCACCAGGTGTTTTCCAAAATGGCGGTCAGACAAACAAAACAAGCCTGTAAGGAACCAAACAGGAAATACGCACAGTATAGAGCAGATGGAGATTTGACCAATCAGAGGCCTCCTGTCTGCACTCACCTACAATTTTGGATAGGAGAAGAGTGTCTGCGGAGGGGCGGGGCATATCTGCGCTAACTGCGACACACTTGGAGACGACCTGGTTTCTGAGTATAAATCAGCCTTAAGAAGGGAACAAGAAGCTGCAAACACTACATCTAAAAAGGTGTGAAACCAAATTTATTCTCATAAATTACAAAAATCTTTCACAAAACTTGTTGCTGTTGATGGTTGGCGGACATGAGCTCATCAGGCTGAGGCGACATGAGTAATTTATAAGGCCTGGGGGAATTTGGGGCCCCATGAAAGGCATTGATATTGCCCCCGCCCCCCAAAAAAAAAAAAAAAATTGATGCAAGCTTTAAAACTGCTATAAAGATGGACAAAGGAGCATCCTTAGCATTAGCGTTGTAGTTTTTACCGTACAATTTAAAAGAAGGCAAATTAATCTCACACGAAAACGTTAAATTCGTAGGGAAGCGGCTGTTCCAACCGTTGCATTTCCGAATTCTCCCGATTGGTGCACGACTTTACACGAGTGAATAAAGTGAATGGGATTGGTCAATTATCAATTGTTGTGTCGGAAGGTTTGCAAGCAGGTTTGGTTGTTGCCGGTTTGTGGGAAGCATCTTGCTAACCAGTTAGCAACTTAGTGCTAGCAGGTTCCCAATGGGAAATTCCATTGGGACCAATTAGCACTAAATTGGTGACTTAGAAACGACGCTGTCAAGGAACGCTATGGACAGAGGAAACATGCAAGAGGAGGAGAGTTTAGTGTTGGAGGTCGTGGATGAGTCTCCTCCGTCATCCATTTTTTATTTAGAGGAGGAAAGCGGGGACGAAGATGTTGTGGAAGAGGACGCCAGGGCGGCAGAAGCTTGGTTTGGTGTTGAAGGCTTCCAGCCGTACATGTTTGAGCCCTTGCCTCGCAACGCTGCCAGTTCTGTTAGCTCTACGCCTGCCGAAGACACAGAAGTCCATCCCCGTGAACACTGGGACGCAACTCAATGGGAAAGGAAAGGATTCTGGTTTCAACCGCTGCGTATATTAGCTGCGACACATGAATCAAGATGCTATGACCGAAAACATTTGATTGACAGATGACCGTTGATATATGATTGGCTAAATTTCGGTGTTCAGGCTGACGTAGAACTAACTGGCCTGCAGGAGATAACGAAAAAAATACAGATTTTAAGACAGGATTTTTTTTTTTTTACAGAAATTTTCTAAATATTGGGACAATATCATCTGATAAAGAGAACATTTATATACAACTTCAAGCCAGAATGATTTGACATTTAAATATGATTTCCCTACGACTTTAAATATACATTAACTTTAAACTTTACATTAAGTCATCCTCTCGTAATAATAACAGCTTATTTAGAACCAAAAAAATGATGCATCTATACACACATGAAAAGAAAATAGGTTTTGTATTTTGAAAATATATATTCCTATTTCGTTTCGCTATAAATTTAAACAAAAGACAGATTATTTTAATGTTGTGTGATAAATTGTGAAGAAATGCTGAGAAAGTTCAAGACTGAAAAAGAAATGCAAAATGAGAATCTGCTAACCTTCCATTGAGCAGGTGGAACCTTTGCTGCTTTAGGCTTATGTTGCCGGGAGACATAGGGTCCACTTTTCCTACCTCTTCACCTCTATTCTCCAGTTCTGCATTATTTTTTAGTTCAACCCCAAACTTTATGTTCTCTTTAAACTATATATATATAAAATTGACTGCAATATAGATATACGTTTTGCCAATTTCAATTTAATAAAATGTGCAATAAATGTTTTTTTTTCTAAATTACAAAGATTTGTTTATCTAAAAATGTTAATTAACTAAAGTATATATTTTTATACGAATTAATACAATATGGATTCTGTCTCCTTGAACCCCAGTGGGCCTCAGCAGATGGCCGCTCACACTGAGCCTGGTTCTGCTGGAGGTTTCTTCCTGTTCAAAGGGAGTTTTTCCTCTCCACTGTCGCTACAAGCATGCTTAGTGTGAGGGATTGCTGAAGAGTCAATGAGTCGATGCAATCAGCTGGTTTTCCTTAGATAGAAAACTTTGAATCAATCTGACTGGATGATCTGGTGAACTTTAAAGTAGGGATGCACGATATAATCGGCCCCCTATCGGTATCGGCCTTAAAACTGAATATCGGACATCGGCCACCCCACCGATATTTAACCCGATATTTGATCAGCTTCTGAGTTTCTAAAGTCTAAAATAAAAAAAATAAAAAAAAATACTACTACTTCTTCCTCAAAAACTTCTTTTTTACAGACTTAAAAACTTCTAAAGACGAGGGAAAAAATATTGACGCGGTATCGATGTATTTTACTAACAAAATATCACGAGAGTTTGTAACAGAACGATGAAAATTCATGAGATTTTGAAAGTAAAATAGATCGATACTGTGTTTTTAAAAATCTATTTGTTATCAGCATATGAAAATATATTTGAGTTTATTATTTTTCAAAGTGTCAGAAATGGATAACAAAACTGCTATTTTCAATGACTACTTATTTTTGTCCAGCTTTAACATCGGTATCGATATCGGTTATCGGCTACATGAGTTTTAAAATATCGGCATATCGGATATCGGCCAAAATCCCAATATCGTGCATCCCTACTTTAAAGTGCCTTGAAATGACGTGTTATTAATTGGTGCTTTAAAAATAAACTGAATTGAATTGAATTTTTGGTAAAAAATAAATCAATAGATGCAGCCATGAACGTAACCTGAGCAGTTAAACAAAAATCTACTGTAAAAAGTGATGCAAAACTGAACCAGCAAAACAACTTAGTGCTGACCTCAGCAATCAGAAAACATTTGCAAGGAAACTGACTTGTGAATTCAAAGAATCTTGGATATTGTTGCCTCTACAGCCGACAGAAAGAATATATAACTATTATCTGACAAGACCTGTCTGTTATCTTACTAAACATGAGAGGAATGGGAGAAAAAACAAAATTAGACAAATACGGCTAGCCTCGTGAGACCATCCTGATCTTGCGAGCTTTCAAGGTTTCACTCGCAGATCAGTCTGGAGACTCTCCGTTAAAGAAAATTTGGAGCAGTTAACCAAACGAACGTCCAATCAGCGTTGGCTTTGAGGCGGGTTGAGGTGTGACGCAACGAGAAGCGCGACAGTTCAGTCTAAAGAACATGGCGGCTTCAGCCGATGAAACTGGCGTTAGCGTGGCAATCGAGCAAGTTTTATCGGAATTACAGAGTATTTCTTCACTGAAAGAAGAGCAAAACACTGCTCTGGAGGCTTTTCTCAGAGGAAAAGATGTTTTCGCTCTTCTCCCGACTGGGTTCGGCAAGAGTTTGATCTATCAATTGGCTTGTGCCTGGTTAAAATACGGTTAGTCTCTGTAAGAAATGCATCTAAAGCGGATCAGAACAGCCAAACAGCAAAACCTGTGATCTGATGCCAGCTCTTCCCAGCAACACCAGCATGATCTGAAGCCCTATAGGAGGGCACTAACCATTTGAACTCAAGTGTGGCATAAGAACCACCGAATGCTGTACATCTATAAACCTGTAAAATAAAGAAAAAACACACCAGCAGTCGGGACCACCTACTGTTTGAGCGGGGAAGCCACACTGCTCTACTGTACCTCAGACACACACACAAGAGCAACACGTGCGATTCATTAGCAGTTTTCAAAGCCTAAAGAACAGGGAGCTATTATGAGTCAATTCCATTAACCGGGCACTCAGAGATGAAAACCCGTGTTTGGAGTCTCAAACTGTTGCTATATTGTGGCTCAACCCCAGAGAAAACTCTTAAAGAGTTTTCTGATGAACACAAAGACATGCATTAAGAGGTGAATGAGCCGTCGCCGTCAGCTGCGCTCTCTGTGTGGTCTCTTCAGGGACTCTCTGACGCTTTCAGGGCGTCTGTCATAAAGCATCACTGCTGGAATTAAGCTCCTTCAAGGCTTTTGAGTCACTGCTGACTGCCATGAGGCAATGAGAGACGTTAGAATTATTTTTAGTTGGATTTATTTATAATAACATTTTGTTTATGTATCATAAATATAAATAAATAGCTGTTAGTTCCACCCATAAAGAGTTTTGTTGGGGCTTATCCCCAATTCCTGCAGTCTATGGGCAAAAGGTAGGGGAGCGTTCAGAAATGGCCGCCTGTGAACAATTAAGACATGCAAATCAAGCTAACAGTCCTGCTTTTGAACAGTGGGAAGCAAGAGTACCCAGAGAGAACCCACACATTTTTGGGAGACATGTAAACTCCATGCAGAAAGACCCAGGGTGGGGAATTGAACCCAGGACCTTGTAGCTGCAAGGCAACAGTGCTACGAGCAGCACCAGCCCTCGTTGGGCTAAGACAAAAGGATAGGTAGCCTTCTATCCTTAGGTCTTTTTATA